CCGCCTCCTCCTCCTCCTCCTCCTACTCCTCTTGGGGTCTGCCTCATCATCTGCTGTTTTGCCGCTTGGAGTTTGCTTTTGGGTGGTTGGGGGTTGGAGGAGCGACAAAAAGTCGTAACACAAGACGCAGCACAAATGGCAAATGACTTTACAGAGCAAAAGGCATCCGGCTGATAAAACGGAATAACCAGAAGTTTCGGGGTATATGTAGAACAGCAGGCAGTGGTGGGCGTTTGTAATGCTCAAAAAAGTCAATGACAGCAATGAAATCCAAAGTTGTTAAAAATACAACAGGGAAAAGGATATACTGCTAGAGATGTTAGAGACATCAAACAGCAGTCAGAGAGCATTTGTAATGCTCGAAAAATCAACACTGGATACGCATTCGTTGTGTTTATAAGATGAAGAATATTAGCAAAATTCTAACAAAGATTGGGTTGAATTTATTTTAGATTTTAATCCGCATTTCTTCTGTTCTTAAGAGCAACAACTTCAGTTTGCTCTTGCGCATGTTGCTAGGTACAAAAAAAAAAATACAACCATCGAGGGCGTTTGTAATGTTCTACAATTCAAAGAACACTCAAAATATTCGCATCTACCATTGAAATCTAGGTCCGTGTAGCTATTTTTAGCTAAACAACAGATAAATAAACCATATCTGCACAATTTATCACACAACTTATTTCATCTTTGAGTAATTTCCAAGCCCACACTTCGTTTCAGAATTTATTGTGCTGCGCGCAAAACGTGTGTCGCGCACTTGAGCTTTACCTTACCTCCCTTTTGGGGGCACAAACAACTTCAGTTTTTTTTTTGTTTGGCAAATTGAAAACTCATAAAAATTCTCACGTTTTGCTCCAAATTTGTACGTTAGACGGATTTTTGTGAGCGAGTATTTTGCATAATCACCATAGGCAGCAGCAGCAGCCGCAACAGAAACAGCAACAACAAGTCATACAAGACAGACTGAAAAGCAGGGGGGAACAAAAAATCATAAACCAGAACGAAAGCTGAGATTTTGGGGGAACGAAGTTGGAGATACTCTTGCAGATTTATTGGTATAATTTTTGTTTGTTTGTGATCTTTAAGATAAAGTCTCGCGTTTTGTGACTGCTGGAAGAATATCATAAAGCATGGGAAGAGAATATGTAGATTAGGAGTAAGCAAGATGTACATAGATACTCTTGTAGATCCAACGGTTCTAGGAAATCTATAAAGATAGGAACCGATCTTTAGGTTTGAAAAAAGAACGATCTATGGATAATATCAATAAGATTCCCTAACAAACAAATAGACAACCAATTTAATAGCAGGAAGGAAGCTCTCTTAAGGTGCCTATCCACAGTCGAGTTTTTATAATAATAAAAATAACAATCTACGAAAATAATTATTTATAATTTATTACTACAATGTAATTATTACAATCAACGAAATTCTTTTATAGCACCTCAATTGTGACCTTCTCTGCTTTCCAAGAAGCTTCTAAAAATCATTGTACCCCCTTTAAGTGTATTGACAAACCACAGCAAACTGTCAGCTATCGAAGTCTGAGCCGTAGACACGATTATGATGCCAAATGTGATCATAAAAAAAAGAGAAGTGAAGCCCAAGTCCGATTTCGAGACTGGTTGCCGAGTGTTCTGTTCTGTTCTGTTCGGTTCTCTTCTGTTCTGCTGCCAGAGAGCTCAAGCATTTTTTTATATATATTTTTTTTTTATCAAATTGCCCGACGGCCAGAGCGACCGCAGATTGTGATGCTGTTTGGCTGTTTGTTGTTTCCAGTAGAAGTTGTAGTTGTTTCTTGTTGTTGTTGTTGTTGTTGGTTTAGTAGTTGTTGGTTTCCTGTATGCGTAAAGATGTGGTGGGGATTACTTTGGGGAGTTGGTTGTGATGTTTGGAGGCTAGCCGCGCCGCGGGCTATGCAAATTCATCATCGTACGACAAGTACGAGTACGAGAGGTCCGACAATGCCCCAGAAACACACAAACGCACACGCAACACACACAGAGAGAGAGAGAGAGAGAAAACCGGTGGCACTTTTTGGTAACTCTCCGGGCGGCCCTCGCAACGCGCCACACCACACCACACTTGTCGATGGTGCATTGAACTCCACTCCAGAAGAAACCATCGCTCAGACAATCCATCAGATAGATTTTTCAGAGCGAGCTCGTGTGGACCCCCCCGGGGGCGCAGTGTCCGTCCACCCCACTAATGAATGAATGAACTTGATCTGATGTCCAGAAGCCGCACCAGTCGCCCAATAAATTTTGTATTTCATAGAAATCTTTAGGCACTGAGAGACATCCATTAACGCTGATCGTTTTTGAGGGCAAACGAGGGCGTGGCCTGTTCTTAATTGTAATGGCAATTTTTTTTTGGCAAGTGTCAGTTATTGTAAAAGAAAAATACTTTTGTTTTGTTTATTTAACGGTTGATGCGTGTTTTGCAAATTAAATTTTATTCCTTTGCAAGATTTTTGTTTCTTACAGTTTCTGAGGCCTCCCGCAGCTTCCTCCGAAGTAAAGTTTGACAAGCGCTGCGTGACTATCAGAAAACTAAAGAAAGTTTTTACAGGAAGTGGTGTGAAAACTTTCTGTCATAATGAGAGCATTATATGGGGCATTGATTGGGGCGAAATCAAGTACTTTAAAGGCGATTTCTATAAATAAATACGTGAATACGTGCTTCAAATGAGTTTTATTTTTTAATGCTGCTGTTGGCCGGCTATCAAAAAGCAGCTTCAATAAAACATGTTAGTGCTTTTTTTTTAGCAGGCAGACACACACACACAACTGCAGTTTTGTTTGAGCAAAGCCTCGCCTCACGTAGTCATATGATACTCGCAATCGGGGTCTAGTTAGATATATTAAAATGTGTAGCACTCTCTTAGCACATATTCTACTTTATTTGTGTAGAGGAGAATATTCGGTTTTTTCTTTGCATAGCTTATTCAATAAATTCTTCTTTTAAAAAGAGTTTCCTTTGAGAGTATATTCCTTGATGGAGAAAATATTTTCCGAATATACTGTTGGTGCAGAAAAAAATATTTGATAAATCTTGAACTCGTATGTAATCGTATAATTATCCCAAATTAATCAAAAAAACAAACCCATTATCTTCAGACGGTAGAACATTCATAAAGTATGTATAAAACGAGTATACCATAAATATACTAGAAATAAACATTGATTTTATAAGTAAATAGGGAACTTTTTTTTTTGGTCATTGGTACTGAATTTCAATTGAATATTTTTTATATTGCCGTAGTTTCAATACAGCTGCATTTCAAAGAAGTTCCCTGTTTACTCAACCGGAACTTTTATACGGAAAAAAAAAATCACATGTTAATTGAATATACAACGAAATTTTACGTTTTTTGTGACTAATATCTGATGACAGCGAACAAATGTCGTTGCACTCTCGTTTTGGAGGGGCATTCCATTCCATTCGGCACTGTTTCGTATATTTTTTTTATATACCGGGAACAACACGCAAATGTAATGCAAAACCCGTTTGGGCGACCACCTTTTTTCTGTTGCTGTTTCAGAGCGAAATGTGGCTATGGTTATTCGCATGAACTGCACTTAAAATCTACTTAAAATGTCAGCAACTCATCCGGAAAATGCGCAGAAATAGAAGAACATTCAAACAGTACATATCCGTGGCTATTTATAAATCTAGAGCACAGAGTGGAGTTCCTGTCAAAACCGTAACCTACGCAAGCACTTCCTGTGCGACATTTTGTTTCGGGCTACTGACGCGTTCCGTGATAACCATAACCAATCGCAGTGGCTGCGGCGTGCGGCGCCCGCTGATAAGAAACTACGTAAGTAGAAAATACAGCAGCACGTCCAAGGTGCTGCGCGGTGAAAAGATATACAAAAGTATCCACTTGCAAAGCCAAAAGGTCCAACAGTTTCGTGTGAAGTGCTCAACCTTACGGTTCGTGTAGTCGGAATATGGAATCTCCCAAGAGGCAAGAGAAATACTCCTCAAGTTTAATAGTTGGTTAGCTAGGAGTACAGGTTTAGAGTGGAACATCATTTAATTATGCTTAACATAAATTTTGAACATCGCGTAAAGTGATTCACACTCATTCAGACATGAGTGCTAAGGAATAAACTCCTGTGTTTACGATTATGTTTACGACTGTGAAACCGAATGCATTTGAGAGTGTCTTTTTTTGTGATAAAGCGCAGAAAGCCAATTAGTGTCGAAATTATAAGAATCGAAGCAACAAGCGACTAAAAACAATTTATGATAAGATTATATTCGTGCTGTAAAATGCAAAGGGTATAAATGTTTACGTTTGGCTTAATTGAAATCAATATTTTTGCACTGAAATTGGCGCGATTTATGAAAAATATTCCGCATATAGAGGCTCAAAATATCTCAAAAGCTATTGATTCTGAACACATTTATTTAAATAGCAAAGAAGAACTGCTGCGTTATACGAGCCTTAGATATTCAACTGTAGCATTTCAATATTTATGTTTGGTTGAAATCATTTTAAGCAGGAGCAGGACACCCCACCAGCTTACAAGGAGAAAATTAAATGTGGTTTAGCAGTGGAGTAAGAAGGAATCTGCTTCTGAGTGTGGAAAGAAATGTGGTTCGGATGGGAGAAAGTATTTGTCAAATAGAACGAAAAGCAAATAGATCTAAAGGATACACTGAAATAAAGATTAGTGGGTAGAGGGACAGAAAAACAGGGATAGATAAATCAATCAATTTTGGTTTGTACGAATAGCTCAATTAAAGAAATAAATTTAAGTCCTATAAATGATTCCTATAAGTTGTGGAGAACCGGAAAAAAACAGGAATAATAACAACAAAAAAAACCTGAAAATAATTGAAAATTCTAGAAAATAAATATATAAAAAATACCAGATAATGATAGAAAACTCTTAGGGCTTCTCCTGCCTTCCCTAAGAGCAAAAATATGTATATGCTTGAAATGTTTTATGCATCACATAATATGGAGTCTAGCGTACAATTACCTTATCTGTCTTATCATTCGGTCATCATTTCTTTCGATCTTTTTTCTCCATGACGAAATCTAAGGGAGCTATTATAGTTCGCTCGAAAAGCCTAGAAATAAATGTAGAAATTTTGAATGAATAAAAATGTATAAAATATTTTATAATATATTGCAGAGTCGAATTGTTGAATTGCAGTGTAGAATTACCTTGCATTTTACACAAAAGAAAAAACAAGCATTGCTATGCTCCTCCGTTAAACCACTCTCAGTGAAGTTCTCTTTCCACTGTCTGTAGTTACTGTTTATATTTTAAAGTCCGTTTTTCACTCGCGCACTAGCACTCACTTATTGCCCATTTCGCCTCATTTCACTCCGTCCCCTGCAATTGCACTCACCTGATCGCAGCATTTCACTCACTTATATCACTCAATTGCGCTCAATGTCTTTGGCCGATCCTTTCTTTAGTCCTTGCGGTACATTCATCTGTTTATATTTCACATGCGCTTTCACTTTCACTCACTTTTTGCAATCCTCCTTGCACTCCTTTTTGTGTTTCCATCCACACTGGAACTGAGCGCTGGAAGCAGCGCGACAGCTGCGACGCAATAGACTTTTTGCAGGCCGGCTTGTTTCCCATTTTTCACTACTCGAAACACTGAATTTATTCATTTTCACTAATGCTGCGATCATTTTCTAACTTTTACTTTTTCCTTTCGGCTCACCCCACACACTTTTCGGGGTTTTCACAATAAATTTGATCATTTTCAGGCTTTTTCGGGCTATTTTCACTTTGCATATTGGCAATACCTATCACACGCGACTTCTATGGGGTTTTATTCGAATTTTGCGAGCTATTCGCCTATTTTTAAGTATTTTTAGTTTTGCAAGGCGAGCGAACGTGTTGCTTTGCTGTGATTTTTGGACACAACTTCATGCAAAGCTCGCTGCGATGAGTCATCTTATCTTTGATTCTCTCTCCTCCCAATGCAGGTAGTGTGAGTGCAATGTCCTCATGCGTTGCTTGAAAGTAAAGAGAGCAATTATGAGAGTGTCTTTGCTATTGTGTTGTTGTTGCTGAATTTGCGACCCATTTATGAATCGAAGGTGGCTGCTGCGCTGGGATTTTGGACAAAGTTTTAAGCAAAGGGCCGCTGCGATGATCTCATCGTGTTGGCTTATCTACGATTCTCTGCTCGCACTGCAGGCAGCGCAGTGCAATGAGTGGGGGCGAAAAGTAAAGAGAGCAATGCTGAGAGTGGCTTTACCATTGCACTGTGTTGCTGATTGGGCGGTTGCTGATATCAAAATAATCTTACTTTCTGCATTTACTTTCCAACGCTATCACTCAAAAACTGTAATAGACTCTAAAACTTACAAATTGTTCACATCTCACACAAAGCGCCACCTAGCGAAAAGCGAAGTAAGCAAAGCTTCGCACAAACCAGCACAGATGGCGGTCTGTTAACAGTTCTGTCATCAGTTGCTAACAGTTCTATGTTAAGGGAATGTTAACTGATGTTCTCTATAGAAATTATTTGTTTTTTTTTTCGAATAGAATTGGATAGATTTATTGTATTTTCTCTGTATGTGGAGTTTCATTAGACCTTCAAGTAATTTTTATGCAATTATATTACTGCTTTTGTTTTATAGGAATATATATATATACAGAATGGGCGTAGAACTCAATTAACTTCACAGTTTTCTAGCTGCTTCTTAGAATTGGAAGCGAACGAAACTGGAACTGCGATAAGCAGTAATGAGCAGTTATTAGACCATAATTAATGGTAATTGTAGGAAAGATTATGGATAATCTTTATATAGTTGAGGGCTTGTTTGTGTAGCCTTGTTTTTTGGGGATTTAATTGACTAAAAGAGCGAGTCTTGCATGGCTTATGGCCAATCATTGCTTGGGAACATGTTCTGGAGTTATTTTAGTCCACTGCCTTCCACTAAGTGTAAGCTTAAGAGAAGTTTAGTGACTCTCTCGGGCATTTATTGGCTTCATAAATTATCACAAAACATGGGAATTTATTTCAGCATCAACAAAAACTCATTGACTGCAGACTGCAATATTTCCTGCTTTATGCCTTAAATTAATCAAATAAATTCGATTTATTTTCTTTGCAGCTACAACATGCGCTTTGAGCCTTTGGGCCAGAAAATGTTCACGCGTCGCAATTGGCTGCTGCGCTGCAGCATTCTGATAAATGTTGCCGTCATCTTGTATATCGGCAGTCAGCTGATGATTGGCGGCGGCAATAATTTTGCCAATGGCGGCAGCTTTATGTTGCAGGAACAGCAACAGCCAATGGTGTCCGCATTACAAATGGCAGCCGCGTCACAAGTGCCACAGCAGCAGCCTTCTCCCAAGAGCCAGGATGTAAGTCGAAGAGAATCTTGCTCTTAAATATATCTCAACATTAACCATATCTCTTGCCGCTTGCAGCCAGTGGAGATCTTTGAAGCGGAAGAGAGGCTGCTGGCCCATGCAGATGCCGCAGGAGCAGCAGAGGCGGCCGCAGCAGCGGCGGCAGCGGCAGCCCAAGCGTCAGCGGCTGCCCAAGCATCGGAAGTTGCGCCACAAATTCCTGCCAACGACAGCGGTGGTGCACCCATTCTGAGCGATCCCAATCAGCTGATTGGGAATATCGGTGCAGGCGGCCTAAGCGTGCCAAATGCACCAAATCCGGAGCTAAACAACACACAAAACGATGGCTACATCGTCACCGGCGACGAGAAGGAGCTGGAGGAGCGTGTTAGATCGCTGATCAATTGCTACGATCGCGACTATCATCAGCAGACGCTGCAGCGCGGTGACTTTTGGGTGCTGCAGAACTACGTCCAGGCGGGTCATGGCGAGGTCAAGTGCCACGAATCGATCACATACACCACCCATGCGGATTACACATTCCTCGATAACCTCATCCCACTGCTGGAGCGTTGGCAGGCACCCGTGAGCATAGCCATGCATGCGCCAGGCACAGATTTCCAGCCCACCGTCGACTCCATTCGGTATCTGAGGGAATGTCTGCCGGGCAGCCATCTGGTGCGTGCCTACACCACTTTTCACATTTACTTTGGCACCAAGCACATACCCAGGGCGGTGCCCAAGCCCCAGGATGTCTTCAAGACGGGCTACAACTGCACCCTGCCGGCGCCGTACTTTAACATCACATCGGGCCACCTGTACAAGGCGCAGAAGAAGCTCCTGTATCCGGTGAATGTGGGTCGCAATATCGCACGCGATTCGGCACTGACGCACTTTATCCTGGCCTCGGATATTGAGCTGTATCCGAATCCGGGTCTGGTCAAAAGGTTCCTTGAAATGATTGCCCGCAATGAGCAGTATTTGAGAAGAAAGGCGCCCAGGTGGGTTTTAATCTTAGATCAATTTATTTTTCTTATTTTTTATTGATTTTTAATGCTTTTTTTTTTAGAGTATTTCCGCTTGCCATATTCGAGGTGGAGGAGAATTCACCTGTGCCACATGACAAGACAGAGCTGCAGGAGTTCCTGCGCACTGGCAAGGCGATACCATTTCATAAGCGCGTCTGTGCCAGCTGTCATGGTGTGCCCAAGTCCAAGGAATGGATGGCGGCCAATGAAACGGATGAATTGAGTGTGTTTCACATAGGTGCGAGAGAATAAGAAGCCTCCCTTTAAATACCAGAATTAACCAACCGACTCTCTCTCTCTCTTTTTATTCATAGGCAAACGCACTGGTTATTATATCCATTGGGAGCCCATTTATATTGGCACACATGCGGATCCCCACTACGATGAGCGGCTTAGTTGGGAGGGCAAAAGTGACAAGATGCCACAGGTATAGCATCCATGAATATATATTTTATTTTATTTTAAACACACATTTTAAAATCCATTTCTTTTCAGGGCTATGCGCTGTGCGTTTTGGATTACGAATTCCATATATTGGATAATGCATTTCTGGTGCATAAGCCTGGCATTAAAGTGCTGAAAAAGGATAATCGCAGGGCCATGTTGTCGGGCAAAACGAATCAGCTGATACGAAAGATCATTTATCCCGAACTGAAGATCATGTATGGCATGCGCAAAGGTTGTGGGATATAGTAACTAATTCTGAAGCCGGATTTGAGCGGATTGAGAGCCAAGGCAAAGGCGAAAAGACTACAAAAACAACCAGCAACAACACTATTACTATTTGCAATGCCATAGATACACAGAGATACATATGTAGATGCAGATAGATTATCTATCTAAAACTATGGCATTGGATGCGCCCTTCAAGTGCGTGTCTTACAAAAAATTAGCTAAAGACTTAGCCCTAGGATTTAATAGAGACAGAAAGAGAGAGAGAGAGAGAGCAGTTACCGTAGTTAGGCTTTAGAATATCAGATCTGTTTTTCCAGGGTATGTGGATTGCTCTTTTTCTATATCTACAGCAGCCTTCTAGAGAGAGAGAGAGAGAGAGAGAGAGCGAGAGAGAGAAAGAGCACGGCTTAAGTACGTTAAACGTAGTTAGATTTTTGTGGTCTATTTTAGTTCTGCTGCTCCGTAAATGGTGGAACCAGAGAGGGTAGTATGGTTCCTACTACATACTTCCTACCATATAATCTTCCTGTAAATATTATTCATTAAAAAACACAAACACAGACACTCGAGGATTTGGTTGCATATACATATGTATGTATAGATTTCTCTACTACTCTTAGGCAGTCATTATTCAATTACTATTAAGTTAAGTTTATATTTTAGTTTAGCCAATTTCAATCCACATTCAATCCTCCTATACATTCACAAGCGTTGAGTTTTGTTTGTTTTTTCCCCAGCCTTCTTTTCCTTTTATCAAAATACTCAACTTTTTGTATACCAGCAACAAGAGAGAGAGAGAGAGAGAGAGAACCCAATCTAATGTCTAGACATTTTGTTATGGCTCTTCGACTACAGTTCTGTTTTTAGGCCATATTTATTTTTCATATGGGCCATTGTAGACTTAACCCTGCAAAGACCAAAACGTAGATTACAAACTACTCAACAACCACAACAACAAATTAGCAGAGAAATGTTACAACAACAAGAAGAAAAAACTACGTATTACACATAGACTTTTGAGAGTTGCTAAAAAAAAAACAATTAGAGCGCTACCAGCAAAACAAAACAAAAAACAATATTAATATTACAAATTATACAAAAAAAAAAGCAAGAAAGAAAGAAAGAAAATGAGAATTGAATTGCAAGGGGAATTGCAGTTAATGCAAAATTGAAAGATAAACCACATTTCAATAAGCGTAAATGCAAAAATAAGTAGAAGAAAAAAAAACAACCGTGATATTTGTACTAGTAAAAATGCGAGAGACGAGAAGGAAGAAAAACGTTAAATGTTTAAGCGATAAATGGGAAAACAGAGATGAAAAACATTAAAAACAAAAAACAAAACAAAACCCAAACTTAAAATTAGTTTTGTATATGTTTTTTTATTAGTGTTGAACATTAAGTCAAACTTGTGCACATATAAATGTTAAAAACATAATGAAAAAAATCGAAACTAAATCGAAACTTAAAAAAAAATTCGAACGAATGCTGAAGGTTTTTGTTTGTTGAATAGGCCTTATCGAAATAAATAATTAAAAATAAATTAAAATTACAGAGAAATACGAAAAAAATATTAGATCTAAGCAGCTGTGTTTTGGTTGTAGACAACAACAGCAAAAAAAGAAAGAAAAGACATTTTTGAGCGCGACTTGGGAACAAAAAATACATTCGTACAACAATTTGGTGTATCTTTGTATCTATTTGGATGTCTAGCATATAAGTTTTTTTTAGTTTAATTTTTCGCTTCGTTTTATGCGCTCAACAAAATTTAGTAAGACTCAAAGAAAATATCACTAAAAACCTAAAGCAAAAACTCCCCATTGTTGACGGAAATGTAGACACGAAAAATCCCCATTGTTGAAAAAGTAGACACAAAAAAAAACAAAACAAAAACCAATAAAAATAGAATATAAAATTTAAAAATAAAAAGAAACAACAAGAATAAATAAATATATTTGTATTGAAGTAAAAAGTATTAAAGTGCCTTAGACAAATTGAAAAGAATATTAAATATTTATATAAAGACAAGATGAATTGAAAGAAAACAAAACCAGACAACATTTTCCTAATTTCCACACTTATTTTTGTACATAAATAAATGCAAAATGCAAAACTTTTTACAAAACATTAATTTAAGCTACGAATATATATTTTGTATATAGAAAGAAATCAATTATAGTGTTTTTCGGGAGCCTTTAGTCAGGGTCCAAAGTACGTGTATGTATTTTTTTCCTATTTAATTAGTCTTCTTAATGCGATATCTAGCCTGCCAACTATTATACGTTTAATTCTTTATAGTTTGCACTCGGAATGTTTTCGCCCCTAAGTTGTCGATTATGGAAAATACAACACATACACACACATAAATATAGTATATTTTTTGTAAGAGTTAAGTGCAAATAAATCTGCTGAGCATGGACTATAGCTGAGAATATAAAGAAAAAGGCTAACAAACACACAGACACAAAAATAAAACAAACTGATGAGAGAAATGCGAGAAAGTATACAATGTAAAGAAAAGTGTAAAAAATAAAGACAAAAAAAAATCAATTTGAAAAAAAATATATATGTATCTAAGATTTATAATTGTTTACAGGGGGGCGGGGTTCAAAGGTATGCTGAGAATTTATGGAAATTAATGGGTTGCCTGGGAGTCTGATATTTGCTGATAGATCTTCGATAGAGTCTTGTTTTCATCCGAATTTGGAAGTCTTTTAAAGCTTTTATTGAAGAAAAATATGTTCTGCCCCTTTGATCTCTGCTGAATATTTTTAACAACCTTTTCCTGTAATAATTGTATGCCCTAGCAGTCGAATAACTTAAAAAAAAAACACCTTTAATATATCTATAATCTAATCTTGTACCTCGTTCAACTGCCTTTGCTGTCGTCATTAGCTGATTATGCCTGTTTAAACTTCAATATACGTGTTCCTCTTCATCTTAATCTTCAGCTCTTGAGTCTTAGCGCCTGAATATTCATCTTCAATGCTTAAATCTGTAGCTAAAACTTGTTTGGATTCTCTAAGAAAAAAAAAAAAAAATCCCAACTCTGCCTTAAGCCTAAAAACCGCGATCATTGTCAAACCCAAATCGTGGCTGGTGGTTGGTACGGCCGGCCTCTTGGGCGCAGTCCGACCTTGACTTTAAGTTTTTGAATTTTCAGGTTTAATTTTGTTGCCTTTGGTGTACGATTTGTGTGTGTGTGTGTGTTTTAATGAAAATAAAAGTGCGAAATATGCAAATATCCCCACAAAGATCAGAGATTAACATAAATTGAATAACGATTATTCGTGGCTGGATATTTGATTAATACTTGAGACAGTTGCTAGCGAAGAACCTGCTGGAAGGAGGATGGAAGTGACTCATGTCTCATCTCACAAGTGGAATGGAAGCTTTTATTTTCGCTTGAAATTTATGCCATCTGATGGCTTTTGCTTTTGTGTTTACTTGTTATTTATGAACATGTTTGGGTTTTTATTGCAACCTGAGGCTGTGACGGCGATGGCGACTGCCGACAGCCGACTGCGACTGAGGCTGAAAGCTGTCGCAATCTTTCGCTGCTACTGCTGCTGGTGCTGCTAGAAGAAGATCAAGCGACGACGTCTGGGGCTTTACCGGCTTTCAGCTGCACGACTGCGAGCTTCGGTTCGGCTGTCGCCTGGGATTCGATTTTTTTTTTTTTGTTACCAGTTAAGATCTGCGTTGCGTTTCTAGCGCAAAACAGTCGAAATTGTCAGCTCGTTGAAAGAGCATCGCAAACGCGTCCGCTCTCCACTTTTTACCTATTCCGAGTGCTCCCCCACAAAAGGGACAAGGATATATCCTACACACGTACACACACACACATTAAATATGGCTAAAATAGTTATCAGTGCTTTGTTGTGCCTGGCCATGTTTGGCTCAATGGGTTAGTACTACTTTAAGGCTAAAATATATACCATTTTAATGGCCAAAACGAATGACTCTTTTGCATATTCAAATCGGTTGTGGCTTATACTATAAAATTGTACGTACAAGTGGTACTTTTAAAAGCGTACAAAATACATACCTTTGAATGCCAAAAGTTGACAAAAGCAATATTGAATACATACAAAATGATCTTTCGTTTTGTGGCTTTTGAAATTACTTAACACATTGCCTCATCTTCATTTTAAAGTAAATTCAATTAAAAAAGTGTTAATTGTAGCTGGAAATCTTTAATTCTCAGCGGGAATACGAAAAATATATTTGAATGAAAGTGAAAATAATAAAACTTAAACTTCAACTTACGTTTTTCTACTCTTTTGTAATTTTGAATGGTTTTTCCGAATTTTAAATGCAGTTTTTTATGAAAGTAAATCTAGAAAAAATTCAGAAATAAAATAAATTATTTAATAAAATGAAAAATTGTTAAAGAAAATTTAGCAAGCAAGACTCGTATCCAAGGAAAGACTTTACCTACATTTTGGTTGGCATATTCTGTAGAATAATTATGAAAGGATTTTAAAACTAAATATTAGTTTTATATTTCAAAAATTGTATTAGTTATTTCTTGGAAAGAATTACGCTTGTCCTTGATGATCTTTTAAGGATATATTTTCATAAATTTTTCTTCCAATAATTAAATTATTTAACTTTAATAACAGTACCAGGTATTTAAAATTAAATATTTAAATTAAATGAATCGAAAGTTTTCCTTTGGACCCTTTATAAGAACCCGAAAATTACAAATAATTCATGGGATACCCCTTAACAAAGGTTCATTTTTCTTTTCCTTATATTGTAGTTTTTTTCCCTCTCCAATTCTCACTAAAATTCTACTTAGTTTAATTTACTAGATGTTCTCCTTCAAAATCCATTCACATGTCAAACCTTTTAAGCAGCACCCCCATAATTACACCCTGGTTTAAGGCGCCACCACAATTAAAATCGTACAGTAGCAGTCGCGCACCCACAACGAAAAATCTCTGTGTAGCCAGTGAAACCTGACGTTTCCCACAGTTATTCGTATTTTGCATAAGCTTCAATTACACACAACAGCAGCGATAATTCAGTTGATCGGGCAGAGAAGCAGCGTCATCGCGAGCCATTAGGCAACTGTGGCATACCCCTTTGAAGATTGCGATGCACCCAACGGGAGCATCAACCGAAAAAGATAAAGATTTCCCAACAATGCCAGGAAATCGCACGAGTTGTCGAAAACTAAATAATCATAAAAAACAAACTCCAAGAAAAAGGTACAAAAAAAAAACTGCAAAGTAATTAATGCGGAAAGCAAAACGAATGAAACGAAAGACTGAGGCAACAAACTTTTTTTTTTGTTTTTTCTTTTGGTATCTTCATTGCATTGAAATCTCTTCCATATTTCAAGGTCAATCGATGAACATATTTTTCGTAAAAATTTGATTCACACGCAGAGTCTGAGATCGATATTGCATAACCTTTGGCTAAGGCTAAAACGGGTTTATACTCGCTTCGTATGTGGCGTGTAGTCGGAGATATATCTCCGCAATGCGTGCCCCATAGCCGGTTAATGTGACCTTTAAAGCGTCTCAGCATCGTCTTCTGGCATCTTCTTTCATTTTCGGAGCAGTGGGAGAGAGAGATCTCATTGAATTTAGTCCAGCATTCGTTCACGTTGTCCATTTGTGGCTTAAATGCAGGGGGAAACTACAGATGGTGGACAACGTGAGGTGTTTGCTTAATGTGTGGGAAAATTTGTAGCAGTTGACATTATAGAATATTGTTTTTAGATATAGTTTGATATAAAAAACCTTGGCTTTTTCTGCACACGAACATTAGAGGTTCCTTAACATTATCTTCCGTTAATTAGTATTTAATATATTTAATAACACATTTATCATCTTTCATTATTCACTATTTATTTTCTTATTTATACGAAAAATCTGTATTTATTTCCTAATTTATTCGGATTATATAAGCAGTAATTATATTCCAATTTGTACGATATTTCGGAGTTTAAAATCCAGTAATTTTTTCCCAATTAATACGGAAATTAGCTATTTATTTTCCCTATTTATACGGAAATTCGCCATTTATTTCTTAATTTATACGTAAATTTTGTTAGATTATTAAAAAGAAATCTATGACCAACAGCAAAAAATGCAAATTAAATTTAATAATAAAAAAAGTTCATTTAGAAATGAATAAATTTAAATTTGAATTTTATAATAAATTGAAGTACGATTGATACTCAATCAATTTGTGTTAATACTTCACGTATTTCTCCTCTCATTCCGCACTCACCTTTTTCTCGTCTGACAACATTTCTCGTATCAATATTTGCAATTAAACAAAATTGATTTAGTAATATTTCTACCGCGCTATGAAACCCTGACTTGCCTATGACAAACATTAGATAATTTCATACCACAAAAGCCCATCCCATACCTACACACACTGAACCCACAATCTAATAGTCAAAGCGTGTTATTCAAACCCATTTCTTTCGTATTACTCAAAAGTAAATGTAAATACAATTGAAATTCCCCCAACAACAAAAAAAAAACCCACACGGGTTCAACAAACGGGGTGTGTCGTGCCGCATACAATTCATTATAATTTCAAGATCCGCTGTAAAAAAAAAAAGATGACAAGACATTGCCATTGTCGCGTCCATTAATGGCCATTGGCCTCGTGAGCAAATGTTACGCGAATTGTTTCAATCATAAAATAGTTTCAAAAAAGAAAAGAAAAAGAGTCAGAGTCAGCATCTCCATCATAAAAATCATTAGAGGTAAGCTCGCCCGCTCCCCCACCATCCAACCATATTGAACCTCAAATTGTTTTCTCTTGCAGCTGCCGCCGTTGGTGGAGGATGTCGCGAGGCGAATGGCACTGCTCCTGTTTCCGGCTCATGCGATGCCTACATCGAGTGCAAGAATGGCGTGGCCGAGGAGAAGCTCTGTCCCGATGGTCTCTTCTACAATGAGAAGTCCACGGGCTATCCCTGTGGCTATCCCATTGATGTGGAGTGCTCTCAGGCCCAGTCCCGCCTGCAGTCGGCCCAGCCCACGGAGGATTGTCCCCATCAGTTTGGTTACTACCGCATGGGCGATGCCAGCCACTGCGGACAGTTCATGAACTGTGCGTCGGGCAAGGGATTTGTTTTCGATTGCCCCGCGGGTCTGGCCTGGAATCCGTCCACCTACAAATGCGACTGGCCCGATCAGGTCGAGGAGTGCGATGCCGAGGCTTTCCTGGGCTTCAGCTGTCCGGCCCCTGCCTTCAAATCGGAGCTGCTCGGTGAACAGGAGGCCGACTATACCTTCCATCCGTCCCCGGACAACTGTCAGCTGTATTTCATCTGCATTGAGGGACGTCCACGTCGCATTGGCTGTGGCGAGGATCAGGCATTCAATCAGGAGCTCAATCAATGCGATGACATTGAGAATGTGCCCAATTGCAGCAGTGAAATCAGAGAGAAGGGCGCCCAAATCAAGGCGGCACGTGCCCATGCCAGAACCAAGAACTAAATGGAGGAAGACTAATTCCATGCAACAACAACAACAACAAAAACAAAAGGGCCATACCAATATGTGGCATAAGCGTTTGCTCGAGTTTTCTAGTCTGTAGTTAAAGATCGTTGGCAAATTGAATTGTATCTTTTGCTTAGCACAAAATAAAGAATGGAATTTTTGTTAAGATGAATAAATAATGGAAATTTGTTAAGGAAAATGAAGACATATCTAATTATTTTTATAATACTTTTCAAGCAATATAATTCCTTTGCTAACATATATTTTTGTAAAATTTACTTTCAGTTCTGTGCTCACCCGAATGCCCCTTCCCAAATGGTCGCTTTGCCTCCGGGGATCAATGCGATGCCTATACAGAATGTCTGGATGATGTGCCCACAGCCAAACTCTGTCCCGATGGTCTGCTGTTCCATCAGCGAACCAAAGCCACCGGAGAGTGCACCTATGCGCCGTATTCCACGTGCAAGGAGAGGGCACGCCTGCAGCCGGCCAACGGCACTGACGAGTGCCCCCGACAGTTTGGTTTCTATCCGAATGGCGATGAGACCAAGTGCGGCGTCTACCGTAACTGCGCCCATGGTGTGGCCAGCATTACCAAGTGCCCCGAGGGATTGGCCTTCAATGAGGAGACGTACCAGTGCGACTGGCCCGATCTAGTTGGTAGCTGCAATGCCGAAGCCTTCCTGGGATTCAATTGCCCGGCCGCTGAGCCCGTCGATGCCATTGCACCCGAGGTGGATGTCAGCCCCGAGGGAGAGCTGCGCTACTATCGCCATCCGCAGACATGCAAGAAATATTTTGTCTGTGTGAATGGACATCCGCGTTTGTACAACTGTGGCAAGTATTTGGCTTTCAACTCCGAGTCGAAGCTCTGCGATTTCTACAACAAGGTGCCCGAGTGCTATGCCCTGCTCAAGGAAAAGCAGAAGCTGAAGGCCGAGAAACAAGGAAAGTTTTAATGGGCATAGAGAGAGAGAGAGAGAGAGAGAGAGCCCTAAACAGTTTGCCCAGAGAGAGGCTGAAAGTTGAACATTTCCTGTGCAATAATTATTATTTTATATTGTAAATATGTAACTGTAACGTTTTGTTGTTTGCGTATTGAATAAACGAGTAATATAAATATATGTAATAAATAAATTAAAGCTATTTAAAATGGGTAAAAGCTGCAGATAAATATAGAAAAGTAGGAAGGAGAAATTTGGAATAAAGCGTGCCCGCCTATCATCTGTAAAGTCTGTACCAAATTTAAGTTACTTTTGAGCTAAGGGTCGAAGAGAATCCCAAAGAACAATGGAGAAGTCTTGAATCAAAAAATATCATAAGCCAGAGTCCCCAAGAACTAGGACTGTAGAGAAGGGTGTGGATTACTGCAGTGAATTTTGTGAATTATATTTCGGTTCTTCTTGTGAATTGTCTTGTCTTCCCTTAGCGCTGGTTGCTTTCCCAAAGCGGCATCAGTAGCCCTCCATCAGACTCATATTTCCATAAATAGTATTCCAGATATACTCGCCAAACCTATAACCACTTTCCTGTCCCAAAAAAAAACCAATCCCAACAGCACCCACAAAATTACAAAACTCTCTAGACTTTTCTTTAGTTTTTGTTTTAATTTGTAATTTATCAACCGTTTCAGATTTTCGGTTTTGGTTTTTTTGTTTTTGGAATTTATTATATTATAGTTAATGGTTTTAATGGTTTGTTTGCTTATTAATTATTGGTAGATTAATTAAACTTATATAAGTAGATCAATTTTACATATGAGGGCCAACCATTTTCCACACATTTAAACATTATTACATCGTAAACTTATCATCTCATATTATCATCGCTATCATGCTCCTGTTTCTGTTTCCGCATCCAGCATCCTCTATCGAATTCTGTTTGTTTTTTTTTTTACAAAAGTTATTACTTTTTTTTATTTTAAAACAATTTTTTGTTGAACCAAATGCCAAATGGAAATCTTTAGTTTTTTTATGTTTTTTGAAAATAATTTAAGCTCGAATTTTTGTGGTGTGTTTGAGTGTTGATTAAAAAACATACGAATAAGATTATTATGCTGTTTTTTTTTCTTGTATCACTAAGTCAACCAATTGCTCGAGTTTCAGAATTTCTTAGTTTTTTTTTTCAGCTTCTTAAGAACTAAATGATCCATTCGATCCACCCCATCCTCATCCAGATCCCATCCTCCATCAGATTTCCATCTTCTTTTGGCTATAAAAATTAAATTACATTTTGTTTTGTTGTTAAGATTTTTGTTGAACTTTTTGCACTATTTTGTTGTTGCTGTTGATGTTGTTGCGTGTGTGTTTCGATTATTTTAAATTACAACAAATAAATGTGGTATTTTTTTTGGTTTTTTGTTTGTTTGGTATATTAGTATAGTATTTTGTTTGGTTTTACAAAGTTTTTTCATTTCGTTTCGTTTCGTATCGTATCGTTTTTGTTTGCTTTTGTTTTTGCTTTGTGGTGCTTGGCTAAGGCGACTTTTGTTTGGTTGTTTTCACTTTTGTTTCGTTTTTCTCTTCTCGTTTTGTTCTCTTTACACTTTTTGCAATATATTTTCTTATGCTTTTCATTACCCCGCATTTTCACATTTCTCATTTACATACACAAAAAGAGGAACAATTTGCATTTTGCATTTTGAATGGAAATTCAAAAGAAAATAATAACAAAAACTAAATCATAAAAATCAAAAGCGATTGGCAATTGTCGATAGAAAATGATAGAGAAAATATTCCATGTTTTAGTCATCTTTTTTGTTTGGTTTTTTTTAGTAAAAATTTGTGCTAGAAATTCGGCTATTAAAATTATTTAAGTTCGTACACATCGATCGCTTGAGAAAAAGTTTTACATTTCTTTTCATTTTTCATTCGTTTCGTTCTTTCTTTCGTTCGTTACATTTTGGTTTTTTGTTTTTCGTATTTTTTTTATTTTTGTTTTAGTTCGTTTTAACATATTCAGTCTTTCAGCTTTCAACACATAAATAAATTAATTAAATTAATTTATTTGGATTAGATTTAAGAAAACATTCTGCTGTTTGCTGTTATGCTGTTTGCTGCCTGTAAATAATTTCGAGTTCTATTGCATTTATGTGGTAATTTCTTTCTTCGCTTGTCCTTGAGTCTGCCTTACGATCCATCCTTGCATATGTCGCGTCCATCCTTGCATATGTCCATTAAAGTTTATAGCCAAAAACACGACAAAGTTGTTTGTCTCTTGAGAAAATTTCGAATAAATTTCACTCTTCTTCGTCAAAGTTGGTTGTAAAAGCCAAAAGTTTTGCTTTGCTTTGCTTTCTTATATAATCTTAGTGCTAGGATTTATGGTTTGTTTGTTGGTGTTTTTTTTTTAATGTTTTTTACATTTAATGATAGTAATTAATATATATTTTAATATATACTTCTCCCCCTTCCAACCATCTATTGCGCGCATTCTCCATAAACTGCTTTCGTTTTTGTTTCGTTTTCATAATTTTTAAAAACTTTTGAAGTGGACGTAGCATCTCTTTCGTTTTTTGGTTATTCAAAATTTGGGTTTTTTCTTAATTTTAAATTTATTCATTATATATATATAAGAAATATATAAAATTTTGTGTCTAAATTCAGTTGTTTTTAGGAGTTTTTCTCTTTCAAACTAAAAGAACTTTCCACACGGGTTTTTTTTCTGGCTTTTGTTTCTCAAATATTTGCTCTGTTTTTTATAGTTTTTTTTTGTCTTTTATATTTGTTTTTTTTTGGGTGGGGCTTACGTTATCATAGTTCTATATAGTCTTTCTTTCTTTCGTTCATTGCTTTTCTTTTTCTATACGCCAACATAAAAATTTGTTGTCAAAATTGTTTCGTTTTTGTTTTCGATTTTTCATTCGATTTTCTTTCTTACTGTATAAACCGGTCTCTTGTTAAGGCATCTGCTTTTTGTCACTGAAGTTTGTTCGCTTTTTGTATTGGTTTTTTGTTAGTTTTTGCTTTTTTGGAATTTCTTTTCTTTTTACAATATTTTTTTTGTCTTGTCTGCATTTTTGTAATTTTGTGGTTTCAATTTCTATTTCAACTCAAGTGATTTTTCCGGAATAACTAAAGCTTCTGCCGAAAGATTATTTCATTTGCCCAAAAGTTGTTTAATTTTTATTTTGGTTTGACTCCTAAAAACAACGAAATATGTTTTGGTTATCCTTTACGATTAATTTTGCTGTGCCTTAAGTGTTAAATTTTTAATTTGGAAATTTTCTTTTTGTTTTTTTTTTTTCGTTTGTAATATATTACTAGACAAAGTTTTTAATTTGGAATTTTGGTTTTTTTTTGTTTTGTTTAAAATTGTCTTAATTTAGTTTTCTTGCTTAATTTTTGTTTTTTAATTTTAATAATTGCAACTTAAATGTTTAATTTTGTGGCCTAAATTTGTATGCAGTTTACAATGCGCATTTTATTTTATATATTATATTATATTTTATTTGGAATATATTTTATGGTTTTTTTTATGTATTCCAAATCTGAATACTCTTAAAATTCTTAAAGAAAAAACTACTAAAAATAAATAAAGAAAAACACAATTTTTTTTTAGTTTGTGGAAAAATATACGAAAACTTTAATGGAAATTTGATTATAAAAAACGTAACATTATCCCATGAAAATATAAACTGAGGTTCTATAATGCAAAACAATATGAATAAACGGCGTTTAACTAAAAGAAGAAAAACTTAATGGAAGATCTTAGGTAATCGAAAAAAACTCTCGAGTATTTAAAAATGTTTAAAAACTATAATTTTGTGCCACTTTAAAGTGGTTTTTTTTTGTCCTCATAATCAATCTCTCCGATTAGTTAAACTTTCGCTTTTTTCCACTGCCCTTCTTCTTGCCTTTGCCTCGGGATTTGGCCAATTTGCGCTTTTTGCTGCCATCTCCACGCAGTGCCGACTCCCGACTAATTTCACCCAGAATTTCATCGCCCAGTGTGCCTGTAAGGGATATTTGATTTAGTATTTAGCTCTTTGAAGGGTTTTCTTAGCGCTTACCCAACGTGGTTAGCTTTCTCTGGCGATGCTTCTCCGCTTTGGTCACTGGCAGACGCATCAAATAGGTCTCCTCGTACTCCTGCTTCTCCCTTTGGGCATTTGAGAGAATCTGTTGGGCCCTGGAGCCCGAAGATATCTCTGTGGGGGCATCCAGATATTCCTCTTTGAGGTCTTGCAGCATGGAGGAACTGGAAAGCGAAGAAATAATGATGAATGGAAATTCAGAAAAATCTTATTTAAGCTACTCACGTCATGGCCCTCTTCTTGACCCTGTCCAAGGCCTTCTTTTCCTTATCGGCATCCTTTTCATCGCCATCGTAGTACACAGGTTTGATGCGTGGCGGCACATAGACTCCTGATTTTCCAGCGGTTGCTGCCTTTCTTGGCTTTTTCGCTGATCCTGCTCCTGCTTCGCCCTCGTCATCCTCCTCTTCATCGCTGTCGCTGCCTGCCTCCGCATCATCGTCGTCCTCATCCTCATCATCATTGTCTGCACCAGCGGCGCTGCTGATCATCTCATCCGGATTCGGTTTGTACAGTATGGGATCTGTACTGCTCGACACGCCCGTGGTGGCTGTCTTCACCAGCTTGTCGATCTGGTAGCGCAACTTGTGATCTATGGGTCGGATCTTCTCCAGCACAGTGCGTATCTCAATGAGTCGCTCGATGGAGGGATCACCCTCGATGGTCTCGCCGGAGCACTTGCGCAGCACCACATATGTCAGATTGATCAAGTAGTCCAGCAGCATGTGATATTTGACCTCCAGGAAACTCAATCCGTACTCTGTGGTCAGCTCTCCCCGTTTCACTCGCTGCAGCATGCCCTCCACCAGATCTGTCACCTGTTTCACATTGCTGTTCATCTCTCCCAGCAGCTGAATGGCCTGCGGTATGTCCTGTTGGCCCTGCACCTCACAATCGTAATCCAATGCCTGAATAAGTTGTAAAAAAAAACATTGTATTTATTTAAAAAAAAAAAAAAATAGACCTCTTAGTGGTCTAATCTTTATGATAAGTAATTATAGCGATTGAACTTAAAAGAAAAGACGTCAACACAGACTAAAACTACAGACTACAATTTACAAATTTAATTTTTAAATTTAAAAAAAATAAATTTATTTTTTGATGTCAATTCTTTTGGGGAATTTATGGACATTTTATGGAAAAAAGAGCAAACGAAATGAGGTAGATTTTCCCACCTCAGTCTCAGTCTCTATATATTTTTTAACCAGAATTGTTTCCAATGATAAATATTTCTGTGATCTCTGATGTAAGAATACTCATAAGATAATGTCCCTCTGGTACCCTATAAAGGTTATAATCCAGAGGTTACATAGCTTTATGCATAGTACTCTTAGGAGTTCCAGGGCATATTTTATTTGTGCTTATGCATGGCTTAAAAGTGGAATCTCTGGTTTATTTTCTATATTATTTGTTTCCTGTTATTTCCGTGTTTTGCTGGATCGCTAGCACCCTAAGGAGCTTCTCTCTGGTTGTACCTCCATCTGACAGCACTCCTTTCGGCTGTAACTCCGTCCTCTGTCGCGCTCTTTAGGGATCTGCTTTCACATTATGCACACACACAATATATTTCATTTCATCGTGCAAATATTCCACTGCCACAACACTTCCCCCCACCACCCCATACCCCGCTCATGTTATGTGTCGTTTGTGCAACTCATTTGCATATTTTATTGGTTGCCATTTAATTATTCGCAATTTTACAACATTTTTGGCCACAGACACACAGCCTCCACCACTTCACTCCTCACTCCACTGGAGTTCCACAACCCCACTCCCCACTGGGGCTGCTGTTGTTGGCTGCTCTTTGACCGATGCGGCGGCTTATGGTGCATTTATTTTCAATTAATATTAATAAAGCAGTTCGCATATGGAACTACGTATATAGGAATGGGATATGAGTGGCTGTGCGGTGCGGTGCGGAGCGGTGCAATTAGGTTTTTCGTATATTTTAGAGATTAATTGCAAAATTGCATGGATCGGTATTTTTTTTTTCTGTTTTTTTTTTTTTTATTTCACAATTCGTTTGTTTTGGTGTCATTTGTGGTCTGTGAATTTCTCGTCGTCTGCAATTTACAAAGCAATTTACCAAATAATTATTTAGATAACAAAAATTGCTCATCCAGTGGCAGGATGCAGGATGCGCAGGGATATTGTACAACCCGCAGATTTTATGGCACTTTCTGTCGCTGCAAAATTTGCATATTATTATTGGCAAATTATTTTAATTGCATTTTGTGGCCAGGCTTTATACTAAAACAAAGTGGAATTCCACTCGAAATGTGGCTGCAAATGCGGGTGGGTGGAGAAACCAGTCACCAATATGTTAAACAATGCACAAATATTCATATTGCATTGCGGCAATATTTGCGGGTACAGTTGTTTCAAAAGGTGCGCTAGTGGCGCGGAAAACACACTGTCCATTCTGAGAGTGAGGTGTGACAATAGGGGTAGTTGAATTGCTTATAGGTAAAGTTGTTTGAAACGTTTTTAATGGGTAGTGAAAAGGTTCCCTTTAGGATTATGTTTAAAAGATTATTTCCTGGTCTTTTGGGACAGGTTTTTTCCATAGGTTTTGGGTTAAGAGTTTGCTTGAATGCTTATTATTAATGCTTTGCTTCAAAACGTTTTAGGTGCAGAGATAAGGAATAAGCGAGTAATATAATAACGAGTAACAATTAAGGTACAGTTTCATTCCGGGATAGTCGATTGTTGGTACAGTTTTTGCATTGATGTTGATATGAGAGTGAAATAAATCAATGAAGGTACAAAATTGCAACTATAGAACAACTGTAAATATCTAAATCACGAACTATATTTCCCACTACCATAAAATAACTTAAAGACAAGTTTAATACAAGACAAATTATTATAATACAAATTCTCTCACTCAAATATACATTTAAGATAATTTTTGGTGTAAATAGAAAGATAAGTTCTATAATTTCTTTAAAAATAAAAGAACTATCCATAATTTTAAAACTGTTTAATTTATGTTATGTGATATTAAAGAATTTGAAGAATTTCTCATAGTCTTTCTCTCTTCGAATCCGCATTCCACATACGAATACGAAACCTCCTCCCTCCCAAAGAAAAAACCATCATCGCATAAACCACACAAAAATTCGATTCTCTGTTTGCAAAATGGCTGAAAAAAAAAAAACAAAAACATTTTCAAAAGCGTTATTAGCCGAGGCTGCAATATGAACGCAATTACTGCCTCCACTGACGCACACCAAACGCAATGCAATGCAACGCAACGCATCACTTGATTTTCCATAGGAAAAACTAACCAGCATCGGGCGAAAATAGTCACCTCCTCTTGTGCCAGTGCCACAAACAAAGCGTTAAATAAAACGCGGGGCATATTTTAGCCGAAAAGCAACAGCCAATTGCAGAAATGCAGCTGGACAGCACAGCACAGCACCGACTAAAACCCCACAAATAACCCCAAAATGAGATGGGCATAACGAGGCTGCCATTATAAACTGACGCCCCATAACACAGTGCTATAACAACTCTAAACACTGCCCAGAGACAACTTTTCTGTATATAGGCCCTGGCCCAAAAGCAATTACAACAAAATGGCAAACTATGGTACCAACCTACCAACCTCCCACCCACCACTATAATCCACCCTATTCGCACTTCACAGCCTCCGCCTCTTATCTAGCATTATCTCTACCGGCTCTTTTTGGTCCCTACATCGTGTGTGTGTGTGTGTGTGTGCCAAAATGATTTAAAATTCGACGAGCATTTTGTGTAATTTTCGAAATGCAGCCAAAACAACAATGAAACGAAGAAGGAGACTCCAAACTTAGAGCGTCGAAGAGGTAGATTCTCTCTAGTTTGCTCTGACTTTCGATCTTCATTAAATTTGTCTGATAAAACATATTTGCCTTTGGATAAAAGTATCTCTGGCTAACTTTGTCCTACAATCAATATTTTCTATATATTATTTGGATGATTTAGTAAGCAGATTATAATGGATATAGCTTATAAATACGCTTGCCAGAAAAGGTACAATTTTAGCCATAGAATTTGGTAATTAAAAATCACATTTTTGTAGAAATACATATCTACCACATCACCTGTTGATCATCAAATTACGAATAATATCCTCTACTGAATCCAAATTCTCTCTTTTTCTTTATAGCAAACATTTTTTCAACCGACTACATATATCGATTTTTAATAATTTTAATAAGAATTATACGCAGAATATACATACATATGGCATCCTTAATTCATCCCAGATGTCTGCATTTACAAAGATCTCTTCTAGCATACAACACCCTCTCTTTGTAGGGTATTCTCTCGCTGTTGCAACACAATTTTGTTGTTGTTGTTGTTGCTGCTGCAATGTTGTCGCTGTTTTGCATTAACCGTTATTTAGCAATGGATTTTATGTGCAACATGCAACATACAACAACAACAATGCAACGGAACGGAATGGAACGTAACAATTGAATACATTCATGGGTGGTGTGGAAATGAATCGATGGACGCATGGATGGGAGCGGGGGGGCTACGAATGTAGCGGTAAATGGTGGCTTCGGCTGCTGATGCGGCATGTGGGTGGCCCCTGGGGGTATGTACATACTACATACATATGTACTCTCGTACCATATGCTGAATGGCTGGGCATATTCTCCGCACTCTTTGCACTCGCATGGCCGAACCAAATGTTTTTTGTTGCACTTTTTGGCCCGGCCCATGTGCATCATGAATAAAATATAAAATGCAATTTCTGCAGCAGCACCAGCCAAAAAAAAAAAAGGATATACCCCACACCAAGCACCGCCAATCGCTGAATTTAATGACAACATTTTTGATGCCGTCTGATGCTGTTCCCCCCCAACCAACCACCCACACAGTTCCCTTCTACCCATAGAGCCCTCTACCCCTCAGAGTTCTCACCCCCTCGCCGTCTGCTGCTGTGGTTTTCAGCTGTGTCTCGTCTGAAATTATCATTGGGCAGCATTTTTGGTTTCCAATTTATATTTATATTATTTTATGCATTAATGTCATAAATAAATGGGTGTGTTTGAGTGCTGTGGAGGGCGCCGTGTGCATGTGTGTGTGGCTGGGTAGGGAATAATGGTTGTGAATTTGTGTGCGTGTTTTTGCAGGGGGTTTATGTGCGTGCCTCTGATAATTGCGCAAATCCATTGCATATTTATGGGCTGATTTTAAATTGGCATTTTCACATTTCACATTGCGTATATAATATTTGACGGGCGACGCCGCTATACATAGAGTTCGTTTGAAGGTCTGGTTATATAAGAGGGGACTATAATTAGTAGAGGTAGGAAGGAAGATGAGGAAGGAGTATAAGTAGTGTAGAAAGAACTAAAAGCAAAGCAGGAAGGGGCTAGAATACGTATAGAAGGTGCAGGGAATAAGGAGAGCGGGAAATACTAGAAGAATGAATATAAATAGTCCAGTGATAATATTATGTTTATAGGGAGGGTATCATTTCCATATGAGTGTTCTTTGACTTCTGGGAAAAAGCAGCTACAAAGATTAATGCGGAAGAATTCTACAGGACTGTGATGATGTGATTTTAATCATTTATTGGATATAAATATTAACGAAATCCAATGAATAATTCCTATTATGATTATAACAAATCATTAACATTTCATTTCATTTAAAACTCCCACAATAATAAAGAAAGTTTATTACTGCCGTAAGAGATCATTTAATTCAGTTTTTGCCGAAAATAAACAATTCTTTGAGTCCTAAAATTAAATTCTCGGGCAAAGAAAACATTTAGCAACACAAAATCCACTCTCAAAACACTCTTTCTTCGTTGAACATACAAATTTGTATTTGTACAGCAAACCTGAATCCAAATAGAAGGACCATTTGGGTGGAAAATACATAAAAATGTTAGACTTTTCGCAGA